TAGCCGTTCCAGGATATTGCTTTATATGAATGTCATTTATCATCATGACATTTTTAGGGGATACTTGATTTGATAGTGTGATAATGTTTGACTGCATATTCATTTCTTATGGCTTATGGGTTTTTTCAGCTTGAAGTTGGACTGCTGTTATTCATGGCAAATGTTATCACTGATAGGCTGGGTGCAGTGAAATAACAATTAATCAGTGTCTAAAGTGTAATTATTTTTTAAAACCCACCAACAGTGCTTTACACCATGCTGAGCCTGCTGCTGAAGACAATCTACATTTACCAAAGGGAGACAAAGAACAGAGCATCTGTCCATCCAGAAAAATTGCATGGAAATATGGTATAGCAATATAAATTCAATACAAGAGGTGTGTCCTATTACTTGTCCAAGTTAGCTATACAATGATGCATGGATTCAGAGTCATTCATTCACATTACATGGAAGTTATTGAAAATAAATACAACTTTTTAATACAGAACAGCTGCATTTTCATAAGAATATTCATTTAAAAAAAGATAGAGGAATAAAATCTAATAAAAGAGGTCTGTCCTACTTGTCAAGTGTCACCTGATATGAAAACATACAAGAGTTTTAAGTGAAAAATGTCCAGAAGCAAAACATCCATATGTAATAGAAAAAGGGTAACACTTGAGGTACACAAATTAACCATCAACTAGTTGTTAATTAACATGCATATTAGCAGTATATTAGCTCTTTAGTAGTCATTATAAAACACTTATTAATGCCTTATTCTATATGACCATATTCTACAAGTAATAAGCCATTAGTTGAGAGTTTTTCCTCAATAACCCTCTAATTAGTGCTTATTTGTTGCAAGTAAGGAAGTTACATGAGTTTTGGTCTATGCGCTGCTCAATATGGGCCTAATAAGGCAATAGTACCACAAGAATAGTAATTCTCCCATAATAACACTTAAAAAATATGATCTATTCTTATGGAACAAGACATGAAACTGCATACAAGTGTTAATTAAGTCTAAACAACTCAAAATTTGCTATTTATATCTAAAAACATGTTCCCTATTCTAAAGTGAAGTCTTGTTCATAACCAATAAGCTAGTAGTTTGACTCTAATTGACCTGAACATGTTCCCTATTCTAAAGTTGCCTCCTCTTCACACTAAGTAAATACATTATGCACACAACTACTGAAATTAACCTCAACAGTACATGAACAAAGTAGGCACACGTTGAAATATCTGTTTTATTAATGAACCACTAAAGAGAGGTTCAGAGGACACTTCCCAAAACATGTCAAGTTTCTCCAAGGCTGAGAACACATGCAGTCAGTACTTTATAATAAAAACAGATTTTTAACAGAGTTTATGTATTTGTGATATATCATACTGTGTGACCTGCTTGTATGTTCTTACACAATAGGTGTACTCGGCGCTGGGTGTACTGTTCTCTCTCTGTGTACCATAGATTAAACAGCCAGCCAAACTCTTTTGAGAGCCAGGGAATGAGCAGCCATGCTCCTTTATTGACTTATTTGCAGTCCACTGACATTCAAACGGAGTGAAACTATAAAAAAAGAAGTTACAAGGCACTTAATGTTCTCATACATGCAAGTGTAACATACACAGATTAACACATAGGACCGCTAAGTGTAAACAAGGTAAATATAGCTAATGCTAGCTGTACAATAAGCATGTATACAGGCTAGTATGGCTAACGCTAGCATGTATGCTAATGCTACCGTGTATGCTAACGCTAGCGCGAATGCTAACGCAAATGCTAGCGCGAATGCTAACGCATTTTCTCATTGTGTTTAAACATCTCCACATGTCATCACATAAACACATGTCATCACATAAACACAATACATGTTGCAGTGTAAGTGTAAGGCTCACACTTACACTTACAGTAATTGCTTTCTGACGGACTTTACCCTTTTACTCTTCAGGCTGCATAGGGAAAATTTGTGGCAGTGTCATGGATGTCTACTGGTCTACTGCCATTCTATTCAGTTCACGTTCTCCTACTTCCTGTACCCGGTTTCCTGTCTAACCTTCAGTACAAATTTTACAAAAATATAAATGCAAATATGAAACATACAAGTCAATATCACCTTGCTATTGGTAGCTGAACTGTCAATACCCTAAAACATATTATAAGATATAAAAACCTAATTTTGAGTTATTCAGACACAATTAACACTTATAGTTTCATGTCTTGTTCCATGATAAGAATAGATCATATTTGTTAAGTGTTATTATGGGAGAATTACTATTCTTGTGCTACTATTGCCTTATTAGGCCCATATTGAGCAGCGCATATTAAGACCAAAACTCATGTAACAACTTCCTTACTTGCAATAAATAAGCACTAATTAGAGGGTTATTGAGGAAAAACTCTCAACTAATGTCTTATTACTTGTAGAATATGGTCATGTAGAATAAGGCATTAATAAGTGTTTTATAATGACTAATAAAGAGCCAATACACTGCTAATATGCATGTTAATTAACAACTAGTTGAT